TAAAATAAAAAATTGAAAAAAGTACTTACTTTACTTCTGTGGCAGCTGGGAGCTCCATTGGAGCCCAGCGGTAGCTGCAGAGGAGTCCTGGAGCGGCAGTGGATGTTGGGAGCTAATTGGGGCCCAGCCACCATGGCAGCAGATGCAGTGAGCCACTTGGGGCCTGGCCACCACCACAGCACATGTTGGGAGCCACTTGGGCCTAGCCTCAGCAGCAGAGGATACGGGAGCCCTTTGGGGCCCAGTGGCGGACACCAAGAACCACTTGGGGCCCAGCTGCTGGCATGGCAGATGTAGGGAGCCACTTGGGGCCTGACTGCAGTGTCAGCACACTCTGGGAGCTACTTGGGGCTCAGACTGGCTCCCAGACAGAGCTGCTGCAAGGCTCCAAGGTGAGTGCTAGAGCCTGGACATGCTGGCTGAGCAATGGGGGGAGGGAGATGGGTCCCCCCCCCGTGAGTACTCCCCCCCCTTGTAGAATTCTAATCCCTTTATGTCTTTAACATTCCCTTAGGAAGAACTGGATCATGCTAATGCAGCAAACACTAGTCATTCTATCCCTTATTTTTCAACAAGACTTTTAAAAAATTCAGACTTGAAGCTTCATTGGAGTGGGCTTGTCCCGGGCTTCTGTAATCCCAGTGTTCCCCCTTTCTCTCCTTACTCCAGTTCTGTCGTGCTTGCTGTAAAGGCTGGAATCTCAAGTATGTCGATTACTCTGCAGCACAGGACTTCAGACAGATTGCATTCACCCCCATTATCAAAAACGAGATGAGGTCAATGAAAATAAAATTGGAGAGTGCTTGTGTGAAGCTCTCTGAGCATGACATAATGCCTATTGAAAGCAGTGCATGTAGAGGGGGAGCGTTCCATGTAATTTCTGGTCCATAAGCACTGAATATATGTCCATAGAAAATGTATACATGTAGGTATTGCACCTATTATTGGGAATGCTTGAAAAAAGCATGTTCCCGATTACGGGGAAGGGAGCCTGTGCACATAGTCTTCCTGTGCACATAGACTGTGCATTCACAGGCCAGCATTCACGCACAGGAAGCAGCAACAGCATGCTCATGTCAATTCCTTGTTGACATGTGTGCTGCCATGTGGCATGTTGGTTCAGCCTTATTTATGTGAACAGGTGTCCATTCTGATTGAGGAACTGTAAGTGGCAGAAAAGCATTTGTTACTTGAGCATTACGCCCAGTGTGTGTTGTACCATTTGCCTTACGAATGGGTTTCAGGCTGTAAGCCTTTGCTTATGGAAATGGCGTAATAGAGGCTGGATTCCTATAACTGAGGGCCATGTTTACTGCATGGCACCAGGGGTTGCCTCCACCTGTGACCACTTTAATGTGCCCAATATAACCATGGAGGGCCTGCTTGCCCAGATTCCTAAGCAGCTGCAGAGAAGGTAGAGGACACTGCAGGAGACTACAGATGACCAGTAAGCTTTTAAGTGGACACTGCATTGTTCTGGTCACCTAACAATTCCATCCTAAGCTGAGTTTCACACTTCTGTGGCCAGTGAAGCCAGCGGGCTTTGAAAGGGGCTGATAGCACTGTAAGTCTTACTTATAGGCTTCGGCTATAGGTTAGATGGGTGCAAACTTTGTGCTTTTTGCTTAGTAGGTTGGTTTAAAGTGGAGAATATGTGATAGCTGACCAGTGGTGATGGAAAGTGCCATCAAGTCACAGCTGACTTAACGGTGATCCTATAGGATTTTCAAGGCAAGAGATGAACAGGGGTGGTTTGCCATTGCCTGCCTCTGCATAGAGACCCTGGACTTCCTTGGTGGTCTCCCATCCAAGTACCAACCAGGGCTTACCCTGCTTAGCTTCTGAGATCTGACAGGAGTAGGCTTGCCTAGACCACGTAAGTCAGGGATGGCCAGAGTATATATCATTTTGGCTATGGCTTCCCCTGTGGTAAGTTCTCCATGCAAAATTGCCTGGATTAATCATGGAACTAAAAGATGGAAGGCAGTATATTGAAATGGGTAGAGAGCTGGCAACACTATGCCAGTTTTTGGTCACAAAACAACTTACCTGTTTTATAATGTGTGGAGTTAAGACTTTTAGTATGTATTCTCACTGTGCAAAAAATACGACTGTTTCCTGTTTGTGTGTGTGTGTGTGTATTTTAAATGTAAACATTGAACCAAAAATGTAATATTTGCGCATGCACTGTGCCTTTTGGCTTTATAGTTTGCTTCAAGCAGAGAGTGTGCGATGATGAACTAGAACCCACCTGACCACTACGGTCCTCTTTGGAGGGCCTGCTTTGTGTGCCCCCACCTTCTAAGCTTAGGTATGTGACAACCCATGAGAAGGCCTTCTTGGTGATGGCCCCAGAGCTCTGAAACTCTCTCCCCAGGGAGATTTTTCTGTTGCCAACGGATGAAGAGTTTTTTGGTTTGTTTGGCATTCCCTCAGTGATCCCTTCTTCCTGACCAATGTTTTAATTGCTGTTTTTATGTCAGCGTACATATTTTAAACCTGTTTTAATTTGTTTCAGTTATGTGCGTTAGGGGGTTGGTTTTAATGGTTTTAAAATGTGATTTTATCATGTATGTTTTAAATTGTGAGCCGCCTTGGTGGCCCTTGTGAGGGCAGAAAGGTGGGATGTAAATTTTGTAAATAAATAAATGGTTAATAAATAACATGGCAAGAGGCCACACAAGTGGAACAAGGTCAGGGCCTGCATCTCCAATCCCCTGAGCACAGCCATCTTCTGATGACACCCCCCTCCCTGCAAATTTATAGGTTCTTGTTCTAAAGGCTGAAAGCTGGTTCCTCATGTGCTGTCACAGACCAAATGCCACAGGTCAAAAATATATGGGATGTGCATGAAAACTACAGTTTCTATGGGGCAGTGCAACAACATACACATGAAAATTGTTTCTGATCTGAAGATTGCACCTACACCAGTAACAAAGACCGAGTCAGCTGTAAGGTACTGAATAAGAACATAAGAAGCGTCTTGCTGGATCAAACCAATTGTCCATCTAGTCCAGCATCCTGTCTCATGCAGTTGCCAGCCAGTTCCTCTAGGTGGCCAACAACAGGGCATCAAGACCAAAACCTCCCCCTAATGTTGCCTCCTGGCACTGGGATTCAGAGGATTAATGCCTCTGAATGTGGAGGTTCCCCTCAGTCCTCCACAAATCTGTCTAACCCCCTTTTCAAACTGTTGATTCCTGTGGCCATCTCTACATCCTCTGGCAGCAAATTTAACATTTTAATTACTCACTGTGTAAAGTTCTATTTCCTTTTGTCTGTCCTGAACCTACTGCCCATCAGCTTGATTGAATGCCCTCAGGTTCTAGTGTTTTGGGAGAGGGAGAAAAAGTTCTCTTTGTCTACCCTGTCCACCCCATGCATAATTTTATAAACCTCTATAATATTTGGAAGGACTGTTATAGATGGGAGGGGTGTATATTTTGTGTATGTGTGTGCGCGTGTGTGTGCGCGTGCACACCTGGAAGTCATGGTTGATTTCTGGTGGCCCCTAGTTGGGCTTGGACGTTTCAGAGAGCTGGCTTGCTATTGCCTGCCTCTGCATCCCGGCCCTGGTATTCCTTGGAGGTCTCCCATTCAAGTACCTGACAGGGTCAGCCCTGCTTAGTTTCTGAGATCTGACAAGATCGGGCTTGCCTGGGCTGTCCAGGTCAGGATGGAATTTAATAACTTTTGAAAAAGCTGAGAAATTCCCTCAGATTTCAATCCCCCCACTTCTCCGAGTTTCTCCGCAAAAGCGGTGGGTGGGCCAGGAAAGGCGATGGGTGTGTGTGTGTGCGCGCCCCTGGGGCTCCTTACTGCCGGAGCGCCATTCCAGCACGTTCTGGCAGGAAATGACCCCTGTTCATATCCATAATTTCTCCCCACCTCAAGGCTAATAGCATCTATCAGAATAATTTGCAGTGGGAAAAGATCCTGTAGGAACGTTTCCCAGTGTCATTTTCCCAGCCTGGTCATCTGCAACTTTGCTTTTTTTAAAAAAGTGAAATCTGATCATGGATCACCTTCTATCACATCTAGTTCAATCTTACCGAGTTAGCACCATTTCACATGACAGATGAAATTCCCTCCACATTAAAAACAAACAAACAAACAAATTTGTAATCCAGCACCAACAGTCTGAGCCCGGTTAAACTGCAGAAACAAAAGGTTTACTTCCTTAGTGACAACTTGTCCTTTGAAAGAAACATATATTGATGATTTGGTCAAGTGTGACTGGATTTACACATAATTTATAAATGAGTAGGCCAAAATGCAGATTCTTATTGAAGTAGTTATTCTTTCGTTGTCTAGCAGCCCTTGTTTCAAATGCCGTACCAACAATACAAAATATAGAAATGCGATGCAGGCCTTTCTCAACATAGACATGAATACAAGGAATTGTCTTGTGAAGCAAATTGCACATGGGGCTCACTCGCTCGTCCACCACAGTCCATTTGCTTATGGTACATAATCCAAATGGTGCAATTTTCCATTGTCAAATGGGGCGGGAAATATTACTAAACGACGTAACGTTTCTGTTAATTGGCCAGATAGTGCTGATTCCAATAAAAGAGTTCAGAACGATGGCCCATTACACAGAGAAAGGTCAGCCTTCCACTTTGCCTCAGGGTCACTCCAGAAAAGGAGTGAAATGGGGAGGGCTTTAGAAGCTAATAGAACTGAAGATAGACGGTCTGAGTTTTGCACAGGTCACTTCTTTTATGGCGATCCTCGCCTGAACTTATTGATTTCCACATTCCAGACAAATGGTGTGTTTATTGAAAGATGCACAGTCATGCAGAAGTGTTCTGCAAATCCATCTTTTCAAATCCATTTCAGCTGTGGCATTTGCAAGAAATTGGTGTTTCGATGCTACCTGCTTCTATTACTGCTGTCTCTTTATTTGAAGGTTTTTGGAGAAATGTTGCTTTCTCTAATCTGGTGCATGTTGTTTCCAGTATGCCAGATTCTGTGCACATATAGGGTTGTCTAATGTAGAATGCACATTTGTGAATTTCTAGCTTGTTCAACAGCTAATCACAAAAGTTGGGAAGGGGCTCTGGCTCAGCGGAAGAGGAGCCCTTGCTGTCCATGCAGAAGGTCCCAGGTTCCAGCCCCGGCATCTCCAGTTAAAGAGGACCAGGCAGGAGGTGCTGCCAGTCTAAGTAGACAATACTGACCTTGAAGGAGGACTGGCTTGACTCAGTAAAAGGCTGCTTTGTGTGTCTGTGTATTCAAAGTGACAATCATTTATCCCAGTTTTTGATAGAAATTCTACGGATCTGATCCTGGTGAAGTTATACAGGTTCATTGCAGTGAGAATACCTGAGCATACAGTTAACTCATTCAATGGAATCAATAGGACTTAAAAGTGCATAACTAAGACAAGATCATGACTGATATTTTTTTTTTTTGAGCCCTGGAATCAGCATGGTTGTTTGGGTATAATCTGCAAGCCATTCACATATTCCGCTTTCAGTGGTGTCCCAGGTGTTTAATGGGTTCTCAGTCCCCATAATTTAGCATGTTAGACCTATAAAAAAGAAGCTGGCGAAATACAGGCTTGCCCCCAATGTGGTGAAATTGATTCATTCTGTCCTCCTTGATTTTACTAGTTTCCATTCCAAAAGGGCAAAACTCCATTTTGTCAGCCAGAGAAACCAATCAGCCTAAGATTTATGTGTATTTCTTGTCTGTCGCCCTGAACTCCCTCCTCCCCCTCCCCAACGCACAATGCTTCTCTCCTTTGCCCCATCAATCTTAAAATACCTGC